CCCAGAACCACCTACAGGAGCCGGGAGGTGGTCACCTACCTTGGGGCACAGTGGTGTGGGGCAGTCCCCAGTCTGCCCTGGGCCGCGTGTGGGGTCAGGGGAGCTGCCCTCTGGCCCGTGCCCCTCCTCATTCACCCGGCTGGTGTGGTGCTGGGCATGGGGGCCGGCAGCTCACAGCAGGGTCAAGGCTGGGAATGGCAGGGGCCTTCCAAATGCTTCGTGCTGCTGAGCTGGGGTCCTGCTCTCACCCACTTCTCCCCTGAGAACATGGGGACGAGAGTCCTGCTGTGAAGGCACAGGGCCAGGTGGGAAGGACAGCCAGAGGGCCCTGGGTGAGGTCCCCTCAGGTGGGCACACCTGGGTTCTCCCTCCAGTGCTGCCAGTGAGTGAACTCTGGCCCAGCGAGGTCCCTGGTGGTTCTCAGGCCTTGGTTTCCCCTCTGGTGAAATGATGGGTGCGAATTGGGGAGGGGTCACTACAGTCGGGGGTGTGGCAGCACCAGGCTGGGGAGCGGGAGGGCCCAGGTCACACCGGCTGTGTCCTGGCGCCTCCACAGGGCGTGAGCACTGCTGGGCCAGGCTGAAGGAAGAGGTCCGGCCCAGGCAGACGCCAATGGGGCTGAAGGGGCTGTCTGGGGACCCTCCTCCCTCAGCTGAGTCCTGGCGGGGGACAGTTCAAAAATCCCTGTGCCCTCTGTTGAGCAAGTTTGCTTTTAAAAAAAAAAAAGTCTCCTGGGCCGGCTGGCACAGGGACTTGCACTGCACGGGCAGGCGGGCAGCAGGGCGCCCTGCACTCAGCGCAGGGCCAGCCCGGGGTGGGGCATAGAGCCAGGGGCCAGGCAGGCCAATTCCAAATCGTAGTGGGCGGTTTCTTTCACCGTACTGGTCACCAGGTTCGGTCCAAATGTGAAGCCACTAGCCCAGGCTGGGTGTGGGGCGCACCCGAGTGTTCATGACTGTGCGGGCTCCCGAGGAAACCGGGCCGATGGCCGGTGCCCAAGGTCCCGTGTGAGCTGTGCTGGTGCCGGGGCCCCAGCGTGGGCAGCGCTGCACGGGAGAGGGAGGAGGCGCCGCTGTGGGCTCTGCAGGCCCCGAGGGAGAGGGCGTCGAGGGCTCCAAGGACAGGACCTTGGTCAGGACCCCCCCGGAGGTGGGATCGAGCCCTCAATGTCACTCCGCCGGGACACAGCCTGGGACAAGGACCTGCAGATTGGCGGGTGTCTAGGCAGGTGGCTGCTTCTCTCCCACGGCCCTGGTGGGTGGGTGCAGGTGCCAGGATGGTGCTGCGTCCCCATCGAGGGCCTCTGGAAAGGCCCCCCCCCTTTCCTGGCCGTAGGATCAGCCCTGGGATCCCCACCCCCAGGGGCTACTCTGCAGGCGCAACCTGAATCCACGATCCATTCATCATGAGCGCCCCTCTTTTAGGTGACAGCTTTATTGAGGTGTAGTCCTCACACAATCCACCTGTCTGAAGCGCACATTCGGTGGTCTTCAGTGTATTCAGTTGTGTAACTCTCCACTAATTCTAGAACATTCCTATCACCTTGGGAGAAGCGTCATAGCCCTTAAGCAGCCATCAATCCACTGTCCGTGGCTCTGTGGTTTCTGCACACTCCTACGAACGGAATCACACAACACGTGGCCTTCTGTGTCCAGCTTTGTGTTCTCGAGGTCCGACCACGCTGTCAGAGCTTCGTTCCTCCCACGGCTGAGTGATCCACATGTGCACAGACCACGTCTGTCTGTCTGTCTGTCTGTGGATGGACTTTGGGTGGTTTCCACTCCTCGGCTGTTGGGAGCACTGACGTGCGAGCTGCGAGGGGTCGCGTGATGCCACCCTGCAAGGTGCACACGTAACCAGGCGTGGAACTGCTGGTCTGTGGAAATTCACGGAGCAATGCTGGTTACACTGTTTTCCACGCTCGCTCAGGGACAAGCAGCCAGCTGGGAGCTCCAGGGAGCGAGGTGACGCGTCTGTGGCAGGAGAGGCATTTTCAGGGTCCCCCTCGCTTGCTTCTTACCACTAAGTCTAAACAGGACTCGCTTAGTCTGGGAAAACCAGCCCCCCGACCCCAGTCATGTCTGAAATTTGACCATAAAGGGGCCAGATTTGCGAGCTTAAAGGAGTGCATTGAAAACCGGGCTGCAGTAATGGGATGGGGGGCAGGAAAGCTGCCCGTCCCTGGGGACAGTGCAGCCCGGGACCATCAAGACCAGCCTGGCCCGTCCACACCCGCACAGTAACTGGAAGAGGCGGGAGCCCCAGGGCCAGGCAGATCGGGGCTCCCAGCAGCTCTTTTCCCTCTGGGGTCACGTCCATCCCGCATGCACTTTCCAGTTGGCTGTGGGAAGTGAAGGTGTGGGGGAGGGGCCGGGACACGGGTCCTTCAGAGAGACCCTGGGCTGGGAGGTGGGCAGCAGGGCTGTACCTGGTGCTGGAGCAGCTCTCCCAAGGGGTGAACGTCCAGCACCCTGAGGGACTCTGCTACCTCTCCTCCCCACGAAGGGGACGGGTGCTGCTGCCACACGGATCCTGCCCTACCTAGCAAGCTTGGGGCCCAGGCGGGCACACAGGGCTCCACGCCCAAGCTAAGCCGAGGACCTGGTGCTCTAGCTGAGCTGCCGCTGGAAGGCTCTCCCATGTCCGGGCTGCTGCAGAAACTCTTGGGGACGGTGGCTGGAGTCAGAGGCGGCTCACAGTTGGCACAAAGCTGTCCCGGGCAAGGCTCAGGCTAAGGGAAGGTGTTTTGTTGAGGAAGGCGTGTTTAAAGGAGTGGGTGAGGCCTTTGCTGAATCTAAGGGCCACATCTGATGCTGGCTGTGGCAGCCACGTGGGCTGAAGTCTCAGTTCTGCAGAGCCGGGGGCATCTGCTGCCTGGCAAAGTACAGCAGGGGGCGGGACGTTCAGCTAGCGAGGCCCAGGGTTTTCCTTCCGGGGTACTGGTGCCACAGGGCATGCCAAGACCGGCGACTTCAGACTCATAGCTAGGGGGTACCTCCTCCCGGATTCGGACCCCGACTCACCGCTGCTCCTCTCCTTCCATTCCAGGGCTCGGCGCTGATCCTGGTCGCCATGGTGATCCTGCTGCACATCGGAGTCGCCATTTTGTTCATTAACGTTTTCATCTGATGAGATCGTCGCAACAGCAAAAATAACGGTGTGCAAAAGGGAACGTTAGAGCAAAAACCACACAAAGGGAGAGCTCGTAACTCAGCCGACCAACAACTTCCACGTCTTTCCACAGAAGAACACGACTGGGTGTCACTCACAGTTTGCCTTTTTTCTGGGTAATGTTTTTTGGATTTTAGCCAAAATTCTTTGCTTGTGTGACTCTGCTGTGTGGCATGGCAGAAGGCGGCCAGCACGCAGACCCTCCAGCTGACGTGGAAGGAGAAGGGATCCCAGCCAGAAAGAGCATCGTTGGCATTGTCATCACCTTTCCCGCTGCAGTGTGCAGGGAGGCGGCGGCCAGAGGAAGGACCCTCGGCAGCGTGCCCGGCACGGGGGAGCGGCTGGATGCACACGGCTCTGCTGCTGCTCTGTCTGGAACAGCCCGCGATGCGCGGGGGGTGGGAACGGCGCCCTCCCCCGCTGCAGTCTGTGCTGCACACCTGAGGGAGAGACATGCCTCCTCGTCTCTTCCCCAGACACGGCACTGCCCCCGGCCTCCCTCGAGAAGCCGACTGCCCACACCACGTCTTAAGCAAAGTCCTTATTTCTTCCGCCATCCATGGCCCACTCCTCAGGCCCCCTCGGCTATCCTCCCACCCGACCCCAGAGAAGCCAGGGGCCGACTCTGATCCCATGGGGCACATCTGAGCCCGGAAGCTGAGGGGCTGTGCCGTGGGGCCGTGAGGGATGCGGGGCCCCTCTGCCGTGGACGGCGCGGCTGTGCATGCAGGCTCCATCCCAGCAGTGAGGGCCTGGGAAGGACGTCTCCTCAGGCTGTTACTGACCTCCAGGGGTTTTCACATCTTTGTACTGTGCCTGCCTCAACTTCCCCCAACAGATATGCATATTCCTTCCAGATGCCTCAGTGCTACTCCAGAGCGGGTCTGGGCCCGAGACAGAAATGTGTCTTGAGAATTCCTGAGAATCTGTAGCATATCCAATACCTCCCCCCAAAAACGTACAATGTAACTTGTTTCAGTCCAACAAAAACAGGTTCCTTATGTTTCTGCCTTCTTCACCAGGGTCACTCCGTCACCCACACAGAAGAACGAGGTTTGCCAGGCTGTCCGAGTGCCCAAGGCCCCGCTCCCGTGTGCAGGGACATGTTGGGGGGGGGGGTCTCAGCACACCCTCACCTCCATCCTCTGCGCTGTCGTCATACTCCTCCTCCTCGCCACCCTCGGCACCCTCGGCACCCTCAGCCTGGTCGCTGTCCTCATCGGAGTCTGTCTCCTCCAGCCACTCCTGAGTTTCTTCGAAAGCAGAACACACGCACTCACGTCAGGGCGACCATGCCACGGCGGCGGGCCACCTCCCTGGAGGATTCTGTTTTCTGACTCAAGAACTGTGAGGGGAAATCTAACTCTCCTGCCCCAAACACCCTTGGACCAGCAAAGAGAGCAGACTGTTGCCGGGATTTTAGAGCAGAGACCCTGAGGTGGGCAGACACAAATCACACCCCTCTCCCCGCCAGCCAGGGGCAGCTAGCTGGGGCCCACGTGGCAACCCGGGTTCGCTGGTGGCTGTTCCTATAAAACAGTAAACACCCTGCAGCGATGGTTTGATACCTTTCCCCAGATACGTGGACTTTGCTTTTAGTCTCAGATCTTTAGAAACCTGAGTAGTGACCTGAGACCAGCAGCCGTCTGGGGTGGAACGGGACCACAGACTCAAGGAGCAAAGACAGAGACGGCCCAGAGAGCATGTCGGAGCTGGGGCTCAGACTCAGCAGCCGGAGACCCGGTGCCCGCTGGCCTGTGGACGGCAGGCTGCCCACGGTCAGAGAAGGACACTCTGGACAGATGGGAGGTGGGCGTGCCAGTGTCCCGGGCCACCACAAACAACAGCTCCCGTCAGCACCCGGAACAGGGGACGGCTGTGATCGGGGGTGGGGGGGGGTTCCCTCTCCATGGCGGGTCCTGCCCTGTGTCAATCTGGCCGTGGGGCCTGGCGCACAACCCACGTCAAGGCTCGTCAGCTCGGAGTGACTGTGGGCAACGTGGGAGGCTCGTAAAGGACCCGAAACACAACAGCTTGGGGCTCGGGCTCCCACGCAGAGGGGTGCGCACCCCACCCGGCTCACCTGGGTCCATCTCCACCAAAGCCTTCCACTCCTCCATCTTGTGGAGGTCGAGACAGTATAAGTCGCTGAGGGTGACCTGGCGGTCACCTGCTTCAAACATGCCCCCGTAGACGTAGAGCACCCCGTGCTTCACGGCCAGCATGGCGTTGGAGCGCGGACTCGGCTCGACCACGGGGCTGCCGGCTTCCTCGGGACTATCTTTGTCCTCGGGCTGGGGCCGTCCCGCCACGTGTGGGGCACAGAGCATCTGCTTGATGGTGACCACTACCAGGGGTGCCAGGGTGCCAGCTCCCCCACACGCCTGCTCCTGCCCTGCTGGCACCGTCTCTTCTCCGTCTTGGGTCCCTGTTAACAGAAGAGGGAGCAGAGAGCAGCGAGCTGCAGGGGAGCAGGGAACGGCCCTGCCATGTCCACAAGGCCAGGTTCTGTGAGGACAGAAGCCAACGTGGGGTCGCATTACAGAGGAAAATGGGCCAAGCGCCCTGGGGGCAGCACACCAGACAGGCAGGGAGGCGACTGTCTCCCACAGGCCTCACCATTCACTGCTGGCCTGGAAGAAGCAAACCCCCCGGTGCCCCCAACTGGGCAGCATGCCACGCACCGAGATGTGGACGAGGCCCATCAGACTCCCAGAGGCCCATCAGACTCCCAGAGCGGCCCAAGCAGCGCCGCTCCCAGAGGGGCCGCAGAAGCCAGGATGGCCCTTGGCTTCCACCCTTTGCCAGGGGCAAGGACGACACGTCAGGTCCACAATCCGAGATGACGCACAACGAACGCCGAGCCCAGAGCGGAACCCTCAGTAGCCACGCTCCGGGAGCAGCTCTCTGGTCAGGCTGCCTCCTGTGGGGCTGTGGCTGCCTCGCAGGCTAAGTGCGGACCCTTCCGCCACCACCTGTCACCTTCCTGCAGAATGCTGCCGTCTCACAGGATGACATTTGCCGTGTTTTCAAACTTTCCAACCGTCACCACCCCCAGAACCCCCCAGGTCAGACTCAAACTCTAGACTTCCAGGACCTCCTCCTTTCTGAGACTGGGCTTCATTCTGAACCAAAGAGGAGCGCTCTCCCGGGGCCTCAGTAGTTTTTGAGAGTAGAAAGGAGTTCTGGGGCCAAACAGTTTGAGAGCCGCAGCACTGACCACCTGCTGGGGCTCTGTGCTCTCCGAGAAGCCACGGGGAGAAACCGGCACAGCCTTTGCTGGAGTCGGCCGTTCCAAGAGTAAAAAACTGAAGAGGACCGTGAGTCCAGAAAAGAACCCTCACGCGTAACTGATTTTCCCCAAGGGGCCACGACGCTTCGATGGAAGCTGAGTGTTTGTGCCAGATGGTGCTGCAGGGCCTTCTGGGTGTGGCTGGTGGCAGACTCACGTGGACCCCAAAGCTGACAGGGGTTCCACTCCTGGGACCGTCGCCCACTGCCCTGCCCGCCCCTGGCCAGCAGCTGTGCTCACAGCACAAGGAAGAAGACGGCGGGAAGCAGGGACACGCGCGAACTCCACAGACGCGAGGGGCGGGGAAGTCTCGGGCATCTCACCTCGGGCCAGCGACTGACCCAGGTCAGGCCTGGGCACCAAATCCAAGGGCTCCAGGCGCACGCAGAGACAGGACCCCTCCCGAGCACGTGCAGACTCTCAGAGTCACTCTACCTTCAGCTGTCCCGCAAACCAGCAGTTCCTGGCGGCATCATAGAAGTACAGGTCGTTGAAGAAGTCACCCTCCAGGCGCTCCTCTTCTTCCTCGTCACAGACTCCCCCGAAGAGCAGCGTCTGGTGATTTGGCGCCATGGCCACCGAAAAGCCAGACCTTGGAGTGGGCTTGACTCCGGAAGGGTTGATCCGAGACCACGCCCACCTGCCTGTCAAGGGAGGACGAGGAAGTGGGGTCAGAGGGAGGGGCCCTGAGAGCTGACCAGGGACGGCCCAGGCCCCCCAGGCCCCCTGGTGACAGAGTGAATGAAAAAACACAAGACTCGGGCAAAAGACACCACAAGTACTCCTCCTGCTCCCCGGGCAGAAAAACCAAACCAACGCTGCCACTCCCCAAGTTTAGTCCTTCTCGAGGTTCGGTTCGCAGTAAGGTAACTCTTCACATCCCCTCCGCACACCCCACCTACGGGGCGGTTTCAAGCTACGGCTCAAAGGCAGGGATGAGACAGAAGCGGCGCGCTATGCGCGGCCACCTGTGCGGCTGCGTGCGGGGAGGAGACGTCAGATCACACTGCGCAAAGCACATGACCCGCCCCTGGTCGTGTGAGCACGTGGGAGACGCCAGCCCACGACACACGCGTCTCGCTGCGGGTCCAGGAGTCGCGCACAAGCCTGGGGCCGCACTTCCAGGCGCACGGCTGCCGCGTGCACACCTGGGTCCCTGCTCCGGGCAGGTCTGTCCTCGGAGGCCCCTGCAAGTGCACGTGGGCAGGGGACGCTTCCAGGCATCCACCTGAGGAATGTTAGAGCAGAAAAGAGGCGAAGACACTCTGCACAACCACCTCCTCCCTCAGGAAGGTGAAGGACTTGCCACAGGCCACACGGCAGACCTGCCCTCAGAGGCAGCCGCTCCCTCAGTTTCCACGTGGCACCGCGGACACCGAGGCCACGATAAACCACCCAGAATCCCACGTCCCCATCTCTTTCCCTTGCTCTTGAGCAAGAATAAAATTCTTTAAAAAATCAAGCAATGACACAAGAGTAGTGCCTGGTCTTTCACCCCTACACGCTACCTGCTACCTACGTGTGTGGCTTTTGCCACTTCAGGGGGTCTTTAAAGCAACCACTGCCAAGAAATGCCACCTACAGCGCATTCCCAGGAATACGGAATGTGTCGCAGGCCACGCGTGGAAGGTGGGGAGGGTGGCTGACCCGTCCGGGACCCGGCTGGGTGCGGGACCACGCTAGGCTCCCCCATAAGCAAGCCCATGTCATCCTTTTAAAAAGCCCCAAAGAAATAATCATCGGTACCCTATTTTTCAGTAAGAAAATTCTGAGTCTTAGATCCAAGCTCAGCTCAAGACTTTTAGGAATCTAGGCACCCCGAGAGTGCTCTGAATTTGGTAAATCAAACCACACCTGGGCACCAAATCAAACCCACCTTCCTTACCAGAAGGCCAGGCCGAGTGTGGATTCTCCATCTGCGTCCAAGACCATCTTTACTAAGTGACAGTGACCCCAACCCTCTTCCCATCACTTTCTAAAACAGAATATTTTCAGCTTCACCATTTTAAAAATACGCAGACGTGATCAGGTGTGGCCAGAGGTCTGTGTGTATCAGGACGTGAGCAGGAACCACTGCTGTGTCCAACTCCCCGGAACAGCACAAGCTGGCCCGCCTCGCAGACGCGACAGACACCGCACGCACCCGGCACAGCTGGCAGTGCACCTCGGGGCCCAGGGTCTCCCCTGACTGAGGTCAGATGGAATCTCACGTCACAGAGTCCCTACGCTCACGGTGACGCGTCTCTCCCCTCCAGGAACTCAACTACGAAAGTGACGAGCGAAGGGATGTCTGGTGTCTGATGGCGTTCTACCAAGGCCACAGGGACACAGGACAGGGTGCGCTAGAGCACAGCTCTCCTGCCTGGTGACAGACTTCAGGGTGCCACTAGGCAGACCACACCCGAGGCTGAAAGGCAGGCGGGAAGGAGGGCCCTGTCCTCAGTGGTGCTGACGCCTGGCTGCCTGCGTGTCCATGGAAACAGATCATACGTAATAAACCCGAGTTCCACAGCCCGCCTCACCACGCTCCCATCCGAATGCCATTTCCAAGGTCACGACGGCTCTCACGCCACCTTCTCCCTAGAAAACCTTCCCTGATTCTCTCAAGGCAGGAATTCCCTGTCTCTGGAACCTCCCTCAGCACCTGCAGACACACGCCAAGGAGTGAGTCGAAGCATGAATGTCTGCTGGGTCTTTACTGTCTCAGAAGCTGCATCTCTTTTGCTGAGATACAGAGATCCCATCTGACTACAGCACAGTACCGGCTGGACCCGTTCCAAGAATGACTTGGGATTTGTAAAAGCTGGTTAGGACGGGGGCCAAAGACACCTGCTTCTTCATGGCAGTGTGGAGTTTATTCAGATGCGTTTCTGGAGGGACCCTGACACGAGGTCCTGTTACAGACGGAGGAGGAGGGCAGGTGTCTGCGAGTCCCTCTTGGCGACAGAGCCAGGTCTGACTCAAGTGTGAAACAACTGCAAAGCCCTGCCATGCAGAACCTGGGTCCAAACGCCTTGATGTGACCAATCTTTACCAAGCAAGGCACTGCCCAGGCGCTGGGACACACAGTGACCAGCACCACAGCCCTGGCAGGACCCACTCTCTCCAGGCCGGGAGACCAGTAACCAGCCCATCTCCAGCAGGGAGGACAGTGACCGAGGGACAAGGACGCACCGGAGGCCCCTGGGCTTTTGCATGGAAGGGACACAGCCTGGCTTGTACCTCCCACAGGCCGGTGGGCTGCTGCGCTGTGGCACGATCCTGGGAAGGCAGAATGAGGGCTACACCTGGGAGGGCGTGGTGGTGGGTGCTCAGTGAAACGAGAGGCAGGGGGGCAGAGAGGACCTCCCAGGAGCACGGGATGGGGCCAGCAGGGCCAGCGGCAGCCACGTGGGTGCCTCCCTAGCCCGGCTTGCACAGCTGCAGCTCAGAACGGCTGGGCTCACCCAGGGAGTAGAGCCAAGGAGACGAGAGGGGACGGTGCCAAGACACTCGCCGCTGCTCCAGGCAGGACTAGAGCGCACCGAGTCTCAGTTACTCCATGCAACTGACCACCTGCGTCCACTCCCCAGTCAAACCTCTCACCTATGCCGACAAATCTCCAGGGAATCCCAACAGATAAGCTGTTACTGCCACTGCTGTTACAAATGCTCAGTGGCTGCAGAGCAGCAGCTGGGAACTACGTGCTATTCTGATGAAGGTGGTATCGGCACAGCAGGTTTTACAGCTCGCCATCCTGTGGCGCCCTATGGCATGTCTGCTGCGATGTCACATTGGACTGGGGCATTCCGCACAGCATGTGGCCAACTCTGCCGACTTCTCCAATGCCAAAGTACCTGGACACGCCTTACCAGCGCCAGCCACAACTCCAGAAACAAAGGTGATTTTCTGTCCAGAACAAAGGCTGACCAAGAGAAATTTAGGGTCAATCTGAGCAACTCAGTTCAGTCCCTGACCAGCTGCCACTGAGAAGCTGAAACCCTTTATCTCCAGGGCTATGGAATCTACCAGAACTCCATCCAGCTAGTTTGTGTGCCGCAGGCGTGTGCTCCCTGGGGGCAGGGTGGGGGAGGCTGAGACCCAGGACCCTGACGTGGGGAGTTCCGCAACCTGCCAGGTGACGCGCTCACCAGCCAGGGTCCCAAGAACGTCCCAAGGCATTTACGAGTGGAGAGAGGTCCTTCCTGGCCCAGCGCCCCCAACCCAGTGTTCACGTGCTCAGAGAGAGCAGCACATCCTCTCCAGGCGCCACAGCTGGGGCGTGGCGCCTCTTCACAGGGACTGAGAAATAGTAATAGAATAAAAGCCGCGACCCCACGGTGACTGCCTCACTGTAAGCGTTCTAAGTGACTGCAGAAACCTGTGTCATGCCGGGTCCCGGGACCCAGCTGGTCACAAGATCACGCAGCAGGGACACTCTCCGCTGACGAAGCAGGAGGCGCGCAGGACTGCAGACCCCGGCGCCCCCACGAGCGCTCCAGCGGGACACCCGACTGCGGGGCCCACATTGTTTACATAAACCAGGTT